CCTGGCCTAAATCATTTAACTTTTTAAAAGAAAAAGCTATAAGTAAAAATTATGAAGCAAGGATTTCTATAAAATAAAGTCATAAATGTGAGTACCAATACCTCAAAGACAGTGCCATAGAGATTTTATAAGCCTGATGAAACATATGGACTCTTTTCCCCAGAGACAGACTTACAAACACAAATTTACATGTTAATTTCAGGCAGTTATAGGATAGGACCTCTGAAATATATCCCTAAATTGCAGTTTAGAAGAGCTAATCTAAGACATTACGAACCATAAAAATGATGCTTCATGTTATTCATTTAACAGACAGGTATCAGGGATATGATGGTGAGCAAAAATTTATAGTCAGGTGAAGGGGAGAAAAAATCTCTCTCATACACACACATAAACTCTAACACAGGAAGCACCGTTACAAGTGCTGACAAAAAGAAGTAAGTGGTGCTACAAGAGCTTATAAAAGGGGTAAACGACAGTCAAGAATGGTTTCCCTAAGAAAGTGACAAATGAAGTAAGAGTAGGTATTAAATGGGGCTATTGAGAGAAAAATGAGTTTCAGGTAACAGGAACAGCATGTGACAAAAATCTGTAGAGGGCTATGCTGGTAGCAGAGGAAAGCCAGTGCAGATGAAGTAGATTGAGGGGTAAGAGACAATATAAAGTGGAGAGACTGACCTTGTTTAGACTGGTCTTTACCAAAATCAACAGGAAGCCACCAAATGGGTTTTAAGCAAGGGAGTGACATAATTAGATGTACATTTTGAAGAGAACACTCCAGCTGCAGTACGGAGATCAGATTAAAGTCTGAGCAGAGTCAATGTAAGTAGTTGGGAGGCTAGGTTGAAAATGTAATTTGAACTATGATAGCTATGGTGATGGAAAGAACACTGTCAATTTTTGCTATCATATGCCCTTTCTCAGATATATTCCTCTTTGCAGTTATTTTCTGCCCTTTTTCTATGAGTCAGTTTTTCTTATTTTTCATCAACTATCTTATAGTAATGATATTAGCCTTTTGTCATATTGTCATTTTTTTTCTAGACAGTGATTATTTTTCTTTTTTTCCCGAGATGGGGTCTTGCTCTGTTGCTCAGGCTGCAGTGCAGGAGCACGATCATAGCTCACTGCAGCCTTGAATTCCTGGTTTCAAGCGATCCTCCCACCTCAGCCTCCTGAGTAGCTAGGATTACGGGCACATGCCACCATCCCTGGCTAATATGTAAAATTTTTATAGAGACAGGGTCCCACTGTTGCCCATGCTGGTCTCAAACTCTTGGCCTCAAGCAATCCTCCTGCCTGGGTCTCCAAAAGTGTTGGGATTACAGGTGTGAGCCACTGCACCTGGCTGCTTGTTTCTTTTTCTTTGGTATGTTATTCAATTTTTATGTAGATAAATTTGCCTTTCCCTTCATTGTTTTTTCCCCCATCTATTGGTATTTTAAATTATAACATCCTCCATCAGCTCTACTTTTATTCTGTTCTTTTTATACCCTTCATATTACAACATATTGGATGTTAGTGCGGGATGCGTATACTTCCTGATTTGATAAATTCATTCTGTCATCCAGCAAACATTTATAGAGTATATATGTTGCAAGCGATAGACACATAAACACAGGAAGACAGAGACAGGTAAATTAAGTGTTTCCAGAGTAGAAAGCACTTTGGTTGCATAAAGAATAGACACCTAACCTAGACTGAGGTGAGTTAGCGAAAGCTTCCTAAAGGTCAAATTTAAACTGTTTTGAAGAAGCCTGGAAGTTAGCTAAGTGGAAAAATAGCAAGTCTTACATGACTGATTCCCTATCATTTCCACCATCAAAGTCATTTCAAAATTGGACAGGAAGCACACTAGTGTTGAATTCTCAAATTTACCACTCTGAGTTAAGATCTTTTATATATCACAGGTAATCTAAATGGAAAATATTAATAGCCCACCAAACGCTGTCTGGTACAAAGCACAAGCTTAAGGTATATTTATGAATACTATAATAAATGACTTCAATTTCCCTCTTCAGTATATCCCGTATTCCACTGCCTACTGAAATGCAGACTCAATCAGGCAGTAAGAAGTAATATATTTCAGTTTTACTTTATACTTCATACCACAAGTCTGTATCAATGAAGAGTTATCCCTACACCATCCAAAAATTTTCCTACTACTACCCCTTTTCTGCTTATAGTAGTCCCTCTGCCTGGAACGTCATCTTGTCCCTTCACCGAATCACTGACTACAATGCCTGTGTAAGATTCCTGCAGACCAAGGACAAATATCACCCACTTCATTTTGCCTTCTTTGGAAACTTTTCTGCACTACTAGTTCTCGGGGGCACTTTCCATACATCGTTCTGTATCATAGGTGGGTGTTGTTTAAGCTTTCCTACCTGAGTACAGGTTACTAGAAAATATAAAGCATGTCTTAGACTACTATGTAATCTGAACAGTGACTTGCTCATACACAGAGTGAGGATGATAAAGAACTTCCTTTGCTGTCTGTAGCTGTGAGGGCCTCATTTGGTCCCTGCTTTTCCAGCGTACTTCAAGCCTTTGAATAACATTACTTCGTTGAACAGAAGCAGAAACTAGAAATGGGTAAGTGGCAGAAATGGTAGCCTGGTGACATAAATACGTTATGGAGAATGTGGTGGTGAGGGCAAATATCTGATGATACTGGATTTAAGAAAGAACCAGATAAGAAGGAATCGAGGACAGCAGTATAAACAGCTCTTTCTTGAAGTTCTGCTGTACGGAAGCAGAGAAATGGGACAGTACCTGGAGGAGGAAATGCGTTACTGAGCGTACACGGTCTAATTCAAGGTAAGCGGTTTCAGCAACAGCTCTTAATCCCTCCCTTTCATTTCCGACAGCCAATAAAAAGCAGGTAAAGTGTACAGAGAGTTTATTAAGGGTCAGTGCAAGCAAACACTTTACATAACTCAGTTAATTTAAGCCTCACAACCATCCTGTAAGGACTATCAATAGCTTCGTTTTACAGCAGAGAACACTGTGTATACGAATTAAATGATCTTCCCAAAGTCCCACAGATAAAGTGCGTGGGGCCTGAGGACCAAAAACATGCCTCGTGCTTCAGTCACCGAAAAACGGAGAAGGGGAATTACCCGTTGCCAAACTCCGAGCTGAGGAAAATCAGCCTGGGCCCACAAAGAAGCTCCTCCAGCCGCACCCTCCACCCCCGCGCCCGGGCAGACCACGCGTCCGTCGGAAAAACGCAGAAAGGCTGGCTACGAGGGCCCTCCAGGACAGCCCTCAGGTGCTCAGACCTCGGCGCTCACCTCGTTATTGAGGTTCAGACTTCCGGGCGGGGCCATGGCAGATCAAGGAATAGGACCCACGGGTGCCGGCACGTGAACTCTGTCACACCGCGGCTGCGTCGTCACGCCCCACAACGGCAGCCTCTTCAGCCCAAAACTCACCCGCCGCTTGCTTGAGCCGCCGCCTGAAAAAAGAGGACGCTGACGCTTAGAGGGGAGGAACGGAACTGAAGGACAGCAACTTCCGGCGCAGAGGGCGACGCGCCGGAATTGCGCGTTCCTATGGAAACCAGGCGAGGGCGGGTTGTCTAGAGGGCGAGGTGTTGGCTGATGTTAGTTGCAATGTTTAGGTTTTCAAGATGTAATTTTTATTATATTCATTTGTACGTACTGGGCTCGACATTGTAGAGGCCTTGGTCTTTGTCTGCTAATGGGGGTGGAAGAGTTTTTATGAAAGGTTCAAAAGCCCGAATGGCGGGCGGATATTTTAAATCCAGTGTTTGTGAAGATTGCGTTTCTAAGAAGCAGGCTTTTTTACAACCTCATTTTTTTTTTTCCAGCCTCACGTTATAGCTGATACGTGGACGTCTTTTCCTGCATACTATATAAGGGTTTAAATTTAGATAATGAACATTTGAAGCAAAACCAGGGTGCACATTTCCTACTGCCGGTGGAAATGGTTGTTTTAAGTATTGGCCTGCAAGCAGAAGAGACCTAAGGGACTGAGTCTGAATTAAATAATATATTAATTTGGAGTTCACACCTTTTAGTATTGACCATTAGAAAGAGTGGGGACAGGGGGAGCAGGAAGCCAGAGAACCCATCTGAGGAGGCTGTGGCGGTGTGGGGGCAAGACCACATATGACCTGAGACTAAGTGCTTGGCACATGCCCCATTGTCCCGCTGGACTTCACTTACAAAACTCAAATTCAAAAATAAGATTATTAATAATTTCAAGACTGTGATCAAAACACATTTAACCAAGGCCGCCTACTTCTGAGCATTTGTTCAAGGAACCAGCCCTGTCCAGAGCAATGCTCTTAACTTATGATACCTTCCTCCACTTAGAATAGGTCTGCCTTCTATTCGGATTGGTATTCTTTTAGTTTGATATGTGGTTTGGTCACAAATGGGTTTAACTGCTGACTTTCTGTTTGACTAGTGTTGCATGAAAGTAGTTTTGCCATTACTAACTCATACACTGAATTGTAATTGTTTCCTTTGTCTACCTCCCCTCATTAAAATTGAGCTCCTGGAATGTAGGCGTTTTTTCAACTACAGATGGGTCGTAGACGCTTCTCATATGGATACATAGGAAAGAATGTCAAATAATAAATGTAGAGCTTTGTGGAAAATATGTCTTCTAATTCAGGGGAAAGATGTTACTATGACTCCATAATGCTTCAGAGAATGTATTATTAGTACAAAATTTCTCTATAGCTCTTAAAGGCTCTTGACTATACCTTTTGCTTCCCAAGACCTCAGTTCTCAAACTACTATAGCCTCCTTGGGACCAGCATTTGTTTTCTTCCTTTTCTTAGCCTACGCTCTCTCCTTTGCCTATGATGCTTCCTCTGACACATCTGCTTTCTCAAGTGCTGCTTCTCAAGACCAGGTCAAATTCCTTCCATCCCTTTGATGCAGTCTTTCCAAAGCTCCCAAGAGAAGTTAATTTTTCTCACCAGCATTTCGTATTTACAGTATTTATGATCATCTAATTTGGAATTCCTTGTGTATTGGCTATTCTTTTATGTGAAAACCTCTCAGCAACTTTAGATGCTTTTGTTTTTAGAGACTAGTATTTTTTAATTTTCACAATATTAATGTGAAATCATTTGTCCGAGATATATCACCTCCAACTCAACCTACCTCCCTCTTTTGATGCTACAATCTCAAAAATTATTTGTTTAAAGAGGTTGTTCTGCTAAATTGCTGTCATCAGTTATGCACATTTTCTCTAGTGATAATTTATTCTATCAATTGGGCTGTAAGCTTGTCTAGAAAGCAATATATCAAACCGCCTCCCCATTTTATTCCTGAAAGACTGATCAACTAAATGCTATTAGATGTATGAAAGGACAAAGCTATTATTAAATGTAACCGGTTTTAGACACTTTTCCTGTCTATAGTACAGTGCTCCAATTAGTGGAAGTAAGGATCCGCAAACACTGTCAAGAAGGACTCAAATTTTTCAGTTACAAGTACCTTAAGAGTTTATCAAATCCCCACTGTATTAATCTACTTGGGTTACCATACCAAAATACTGTTCTGGGTAGTTTACACAACAGAAATTTATTTCTCACAGTTTGGGAGCCTGGAAGTCCAAGATCAAGGTGCCATCAGGATTAGTTTCCAGTGAGAGCTCTCTTCTTGGCTTGCATACAGCTTCCTTCTTGTGGCTACAACCTTACATGGCCTTTCATCTGCACATGTGTGAGAGAGCTCTCCAGTGTCTCTTCCTAATGGATTAGGGTTCCACCATTATGACCTTATTTAACATTAATTGCCGCCCTAAAGTCTTTTTCTGTGAATAGGATCACATTGAGGGTTAGAGCTTCAACATACAAATTGGAGGGGAGAGATACTATTCAGTCCATAACACCCACTTTCTTTGAGAATTCATCCATGATTACCTCAAACAAAAGTAATCTTTTCCTTTTCTAATATGCCCAATTACTGCTATTTTTCTCACTTTGCACTTTTCTTAAATTGTACGTTAAATTTATACATTATAACTAAACATTGATGTTTAGCAGTCAGAACGGAATTAAGAAATAGACCCACGCATATGTGGAGAAATGATTTTTGACAAAGTTGCAAAGGCATTTCGGTGAGGGAAAGGTACTTTTCTCAACAAATTGTGTCTGTATAATTGAATATCTATATGCAACACACACACGCACACACACACACACCCCACTTAGACCTGTATCTAACACCACATATAAAACCAACTCAGAATGGCTCATGTATCTAAATGAAAAATATAAAACCTCTAGAACAAAACATAGGACAAAAACTTTGTGACCTTGGGTTAGGCAGAGATTTCTTGATGTCAGACCAAAACCAAAATCCATATAAAAATATTCTGATAAATTGGACTGAATCAACAATAAAACTTGTACTCTTCAAAAGACACTGTGAGGACAGTAAAAAGAGAAACCACATATGAAAAGAAAAAATTTTTAAAATTACATATTTTATAAAGTACTTTTATCTAGACTATATAAAGAACACTCCACACTCAATGAGTAAAAATAAATAATACATAAAAAACAGGCAAATGATCTAAATATTTTACTTAAAAAGATATGTGGATAGCAAATAAGCACATGAAAATGTGTTCAATGTCATTAGTCATCAGGAAAATATAAATGAAAACCACAATGGGATTTCATTATACACTTAATCAAATGGCTACAATTAAAAAGTCATACCAAGTGCTGGCTAGGATGTGGAGCAACTAGAAGTCTCAAACATCACTAGTGGGAATGTAAAATGATATGACTACTTTAGAAATAGTTTGGCAGTCTTTTAAGAAATTATAAATCCACCATATAATATAGACTTTCTCCTCCTAGATCAATAAAGAAATGGAAGACTCGTGCATGAACATTCAGAGAAGTTTTACTTGTAATAGCCCAAATATAGAAATAATGCAAAATTCCATTCAATAGGCAAGTGAATAAACTGTGATGTATGTGTGTGTGCACGCGTGTATCACAATTTACTGCATGGATGTGTGTGCATATAGATACACAGTTGAACACCATTCAGCAATAAAAAGAATAATGCACTATAACATGGATGAATTTCAAAATAATTATTCTGAGTGAAAGAATCCAGACAAACAGGGTCCATACTATATCATTCAATTTATAGAAACTTCTAGTAAATGTAAACTAATGTATAGTGACAAAAAATAGATCAATGGTTTTGTGGGGGAAATGGGAGAGGAAGGACTGAAGGATGGGATAAATTATAAAGTGTCATGAGGAAGCTTTTGGGGGTAATTGATACGTTCGTCATCTTGACTTTGGTGATGGTATCACATTGTATACATGTGTCAAAACTTATTAAAGTATATACTTTAAATGTATGAAGTTTATTGTGTGTCAGTTATACCTCAATAAAGCTGTAAAATAAATACTCTTATCCTTGAATTAGCAATCTACTTCTAGAAAAACATGCTACAGTTATACTAGTACAAATTATTGATGATGCATGCACGAAGCTATTCATTACATAAGTGTTTGCAATAATAAAAGGTTGAAAGTAACTTGTCCATCAACACATCGCTGATTAAGGAGCCATTAAAAAAAATAATCAGCTCTTTATTTACTGGAATGAGAGGCTTTTCATGATACATTACATGATGAATAAATCAAATGTCACTGCACTATAGTATGCTATTGTTTGTATGTGTTTGGAGAAAGGATACGTTTGCACACATATACATACACACACCACATTTGTTTGTTTGAATAATATCTTTGCTTCTTAGAGGGGAAGTCAGTGTCTGGAGGCCACAGTTAAAGTCTTTCTACCATGTTTCATTTGTACCTTTTGAATATTTTACCATGTGTTATTAACTTTTAAAGCAAATAAATTTCATATATATTCTCATAATTTTTGTCATAATTGTGAATGGAATATGTTCTCTCATTTCTGTCTGGTTATTGCCAGTATGTATAAAAACTATGGATTATGAATTTTTTTGTATATTTGTTATCCAATCACTTTTTAAGTGTTTTTTTCTTTTTTGAGGGGAAGGGGATTTTTTAAGAAGACACCATATTATCTGAAAGATAATTACCTCTTTTTTTCAGTATTTATAACAATTATTTTTTTCTTTTGTATGATTACATTTACTAGAACTTCCAAAACAATGCTAGGTAATAATGGTGATAGTAAGTATCCTTTATTTTTTCCTTATTTTAATGGGAATGGCTTTAACATTTCACAATTTAAAATGATATTTGGTGCTATTGTGAAAAGTGTTGCATCTTTGCTTTGATTTTTGGATTGACTGTTACTGGTGTTTATGAATGCCACTGATTTTTGTGCATTAATTTTGTATCCTGAGACTTTACTGAATTTGCTTATCAATTCCAGGAGTCTCT